TAACCAGTACACCATGCTATTTGATGATGGGAGAGAAAGCAATGTTTTTTAATTCTATGGTTTGATCTAGAAGAACCTCAGCAGGACTCTGTCAAAGATTTGTTTATTCTCATAAATGTAAATGCAGGCTAAAAGCAATCATAGCACTTACAAGTGTCCATTGCCTTTATTGGTGATGGTTAATTAATTCATTCAGGTTGTTAGGTATTAGGGATGCAAAGATGAATTAGATATGGTTTCTCCCTTCAAGAAACAAACAGTATAAAGAGGGGATAAAACAAGTATATGAAATACTTCAATAGAGTGTGATAAATACTAGAATAGCAGTATATATAGTCTATCATGGGAGCATAGATACTGGACATTTCAATCATAGTGTATGAGGGAAAATTTCCCAACAAAAGTGTTATATTTATGTTGGGTCTTGAAGTATAAATAAGACTTATAGGATTGTCGGCAGAAGGAACAGCCAATGCAAAAACAACAGTAAAGGAAAATACAACACATTTGAGGAACTACAGGCTGTTCATTAAGACTGGGATATCAGGTATATGTGAGGAAGAGGCAGATAAGGTTAAAGAGTTAGAGGCAAAATCAAGAGCCTTGAAAAATAAGTCAAGGAGCTTGACCTTTGTCCTGAACACTGTAGGTAGGGGTTGAAGCTTTAATCAGAGAAGTATGTGAATGTATTTTTTAAAAATAATTCAGACAGATGAGAAAGACAGAATGGACCAAATGTGTGTGTATATATTTAAGCTATTGCAATAATCCAGGTAGCAAGCTATGGAATCCTAAACTGAGGCAATAGTAATGGCTATTACTATTAGTAAATGGCTAAGAGGAGAAAAACTAATATAAACAGATATGTTTGATGTATCATATACAAGAGAAAGCGATTGTGTGTGTTTAGGAACAGTTTAAGAAGGAGTTTTCTGGGAGAGTGTCAGCCAAATCCTCGTTTGGGGAATAGCTGCATTAGAATGACTTTAAAAATATACAGCCCTAGTCTTTACCTACATACATCCTGATTTGGGGCCTGGGGTGGCATCTGGAAATCTGTATTATTTGAAAGCCTTTGAATTCATTCTGAAGTGTAACTAAGATTGAGAACCATTACAACTTCTAAGGTTATAGGCTAGATGCCTAAGAGATAACTAATTTGATAGCAAATGTTGGAAGACATTTTTGGCTGAGGGAGAGGAAGGATGGGTATACTTTTAGACTTACATTTGAGCCTACTGTGGAGAATCTGGATTGATCTAAGTATGTAAGTTCAGGACTGAGAAGAGAAATTTAAAGCTGGTTTAAAGTTGCAAATAGATGGTGGTAGATGAAGCCATTGGGTTTGGGTGGTCATCCTGGAAGAATATCTAGAATGATGAAAGAGATGGCTGAGCATTTAGGAACACTAGTATTTAGGAAGTGATCTAAGGAAGAAGAGCAAGTTGAAGACACTGTCAAGGACTCTTCAGAGAAAGTAAGAAAATGTGACTATTGCCATAGAAGCTAAAAGAGGGGAGATTCATAGAAAAGAGTGGTAAATATTAGCCAAAGTTGCAAACATTGCAAACATTCAAGTAGGGTAAATCAGAACAGAAAAGTATCCACTACTATATAAGATGGTGACCCTGGTGACCTATGAGAGCAGATTTAGAGGTACAGTTTAGAAGGAATGGTGATGGTAGACTGAAAAGGAGAAGGAGTGTAAGAAATTAGAAACCCCAAGTATAGGCTGCTATTTAGAAATCTGGCAGTGAAGGAAAAATGAGCAAGAAAAATGGCTAGTAGTGTCAGGGAAGGAAATTTTTTATTTTTTTTACTTAAGAGTTTTATTATATTGAGAGAGGGGAAGGGAAGGAGAGAGAGAGAGAGAGAAACATCAATGTGTAAGAGAAACATCGATCAGTTGTCTCTCATGCCCTCAACTGGGAACCTGACCCACAATCCAGGCATGTGCCCTGACTGGGAATCTAACCAGCAACCCTTTGGTTTGCAGGCCGATGCTCACCCCACTGAGCCACACCAGCCAGAGCAAGAATTTTTTTTTTTAAATAGAATGACTTGAGCATGCTAAGGAGAAGAAATCAGTGAAGAAAAGAGATGAACCTTATAGGAGAGAGGATAACCAATGGAAGTAACTCTTTAAGGAGACCAGAGATAGGAGAGTCTAAAGTATATTGGGAGGGATTAGCTTTGGTTGAGAGAGGCAACACTTGCATTAAAATTAAAATGTAGGCAGGATGGGAATAGACTCAAATAAGATTTTGGTATTGGAGGTAGAAGTCAAAGAATTTCTTACCTAATAGTTTTTATTTTCTTAGTGAAATGGGAGAGGCTATCTGTCTTGCCTGGGAAGGTGGGGCTCACAAAGAAAATTGTCTGCCAGGTACCAATGTTCTCAATAAATTTGATAGAATACTTAGCACAATGTCTTTCATATAATATTCAACACATTTAGGTAGCCACTGGCCAAATAAACAAATAAATGTTCATCTTTAAATGATAATATATGCTCACAGAAATAGAACAAGCGAAGTAAAATATATGTCCACAGAAACAGAAAGTGAAATCAAAGTATGAAATATGCTGGTTTAAAGGAGACATTAAAATTAAAGATTAAATCAAGAGAGAACTAAAATACATAAGGTCTTACTAAGGAACATTTAATGTAGTCTTGATACATTTTGCATTATAAGATTAGTTTTTAGTTCTTGCAAAACAGTTTGGATATACCATCACATTAGATCTGATATTCCTTAGCTCTCAGCATTTATTTGAAGAAACACAGCTATGCCCTTGGTACCCTTGGTATAACAATGAAAGCAAGCATGATAGTGTTTGGGGCTTCCTCACCTCCACTTTCTTCCAGGGTCATTCATCCATTAGGAACCACTGAGACATTGTCAAAAACGCGTGAAAACATTTGAAAACAAGCAAAAAAGGTATTGGTTCCAAAATATGAAAATAAAACTGCAAAACAAACTAATAACATCCTGTCAATTTCATAAACTGTGAGATGTAGTATTTATAAAATTGTCATTGACCCTTAAAAATAACTGGCTGGTTTTTCTTAAAAAAAGAACTCGTGATATACACAGTGATCTTCCAGAAATCATATTATAGCTAAAAAATTTGCTCATAGCAAAATAAATTTACCTCAAGAACATAAAATCATAACCGAGTGTGTGTGTGAAATGGGATGATGTGTCACATATTAAAATGTCTGATGCACTGAAATAAGAGGGGTAGGACCTCATACTCTTTAAAAAGACCTGCTTTCTAGACTCTCTCACAAGTAAACATCATGTCTCAGTTGTTACTCATATAATTTATACCTTCCCAAAATTGGGGAACTCATTTACTTCGATATGCTTGTTCTTCCAGTTATTTACCATTCTATTTCTTACTGAAAAATAGAAGTTTTTGTCCCCAATAAAAGAAATTAGTGAAAAATACAGGAGCCTTGTCAACCTCTCTAAACTCATATATGTTTAAGTGAAACACAAAAATTAAAATTCCTTTAGTTGTTTTTAGAATATATGAGAGGTCTGGTTTCTGGGTCTGAAAAGACCATACACATATACTGTTCAGATAACCTATATTCTTCCAAAACCTGTCCACTACTCTCCTGTAGGATACCCAGAGAGTCTGAGGCATTCACACTGTGCTAACACTCTTTCTGCACTTCCCCTTCTGACATGCAACCTAAGGTTATGTGGTTTATAATAGGGTGTGCTGTCTGCTACAGCCCCATGACCCAGAAAAGTTCTTTGTCACATTGAATTACATCACAGGATGGAAGTGGAGGATCTGGATATAAGAGCACCAGCAGACAGCATGCTGGGATGGGAAGGCTCTCTCAGAGCACCAGGAATTTATTGCCAAGGCAATATATGGTGAAGGAAAGAGAGTAGAAAAGAGAACTAAAAGAAACCAAGTAAAAGAAAATACCTGATAATACCTGAACTTTTGACATAGGATCCTAAATCCTTGTCTTTTCATGTATTATCATCGTCTTTGTGTGATATTGATTGAATAATATATGAGAGAAATAGCAGAGTTGTTTTTTTTTGAGCTAAAAAGAACATTAGTGTAGACATTGATGGTCTTTAGAAACATTAATGAATTCAATACTTTCTATTAACCATATGATTTTTACACTTAAATACCAGTGGAAGCCATTCAATTCACTGAGAAAAAGTATATGATTATTCATCTACTCAATTTTAAGAATAAATCAAATCGAGGGAACTTTAGGTTTGTTTTCTGATCCTTGCCTCCACTCTGCCCTAGCAGTTTGCATTACATTAAAAAGGTGGCTTCTTTGTGGCTTTTAATTTTTTTCATATGAAAATGGAAATAAATTAGACTAGGTCCTGATGTCTAACATTCAGTTCTCCAAGTCTAATATGGATTACCTGAGCTCAGATGCAATTTTCAGCAATATTAATTAACTAGAAAATATGAACAATTATTATGGCCATAGGACCTAAGTAATTTGGCTGCTGCTCCTTTTGTGTGACTGATTGCCTTCTAAGTGCCATATTAACAGTCTTGTAACATTGCCCAATTTAATTTTAATGCAATTGGTTATATAAATGTGAGCTCTTGACATTTACTTTTATTAAAATTATATCATAACAAAAGAACATAGATATAAATCAAATTGCATATTCTTCAAGTATGCTTCAAGTATGAGTCACATCTGGTTCTCGTATGGTAATCTCGAACTTTGTTCAACTCACCTTTATCATACATTTAAACGTTCCTGGGGCCCTCACACATACGCGAGTTCTGATCATAGGACTTTCTGTCCAAAAAACTTGGACCTCTACAATTCTATGATTTATTGCATGATCTATATAGTTTTACTTTTTACCTGAAAACCTAATATAAAGGTAATTCTGTTAACTTATGCCTAAATAATCAATCATATGTTTAAGTTGTTTTAAGGATTTCTTTATTTTTCTCCTTTTTAAGTAGGAATTTATTGACTGACAATGGCAGAAAAAATTTTGGAGAAGTTAGATATTCTAAATGAGCATGCTAAGATACTCTTGGCCAGAAGAATAAAGGTTTGTGAAATAAAAGCTAAAATTTAATTTAATTATTAAAAAGTTGTCATTTCAAATGTGATTAATTTTACTTTTTAGTTATTATGAAGATATAAATTAATTTTTAAAAAACAAATAAGCATATTAGTTGAAAAAAATCATCTATGTAAGTGGATCCTATAAAGAATTAATTAGATATAGGGTAACTTCTAGATAGTTGCCATATTAAGTTATGGTATATTTAAACTGCTTAATATTTTTTTAAAATCCTAGGCAGTCACATAGTAAATGTGACTACACCTATTGTTCTTACTAATATGTTAAACATATTAGAAGTTATTTCCTTAGTTTATTAAAAGGGAGAAAATATTTAGTATAGTTACCAAACTAGAAATAAGTAAAGCTCATAGAAATTAATTAAATTAAAAAGGTTAGATCCTATGAAATTCAATTAATGAGAAATAATGAACAATAAATAATTAAACAATAAAGAATATAGTCCTCAAAAACAAAATTTTTAACACATATGAGCAATTTAATTTGGTTACACAAATTTTCAAAATGTATAACAGTTGGATAAATAGGGCATGAATAAGAGCTTTTTCATTTGCTTTTTTAATGACCAAAAAAAGGAGATAACAACATGTAAACCAGTTTGGAAATTGCTTTTTAAGTTTTTAAAAACTTTTTATTTTGAAATAATTATAGACTTATAGGAAGTTACAGGAACAGTATAAAAAGTCCCATGTGCCTTTCCCCCAATCACCCCCATTGGGGACATCTTATATAGAGCTGTATCTTGACTGTGGTGCTGGTTTACATACATCTGTAACGGGATGAAATTGCGCAATATCAAAACCAGTGTGAGTCATAACTGATATCAAGAACACTGGTATATTACTGTTAATAAGACTACAGATTTTATTCGGTTTTCACCATTTTAAACCTGCATTCATTTGGTCATTTGTATATTTAGTTTTATGCAGTTTTATCAAGATACAGCATATTTCTAACACCATAAAAATTCATGTTGCTTCCTTTTATTTATATCCATGCCCCTACCTTATTCCTTATTTCTGTCCCTGACAATGTCTAATCTCATCTCCATCTCTATAGTAATTTTGAAATTTGGAGAATGTTATACAAATGGAATCATTCAGTATGTAATAATTTTTTTAAAGATTTTATTTATATACTATTTTTTTAGAGAGAGGGGAAGGGAGGGCGGGAGAAAGAGAGGAAGGGAAACATCAGTGTGCTAGAGAATCTTCAGTCAGTTGCCTCTTGCATGCCCCCAACTGGAGACCTGGCCCACAATGCAGGCATGTTCTCTGACCAGGAACTGAACCAGTGACCTTTTGGCTCGCAGGCTGGCACTCCATCCACTGAGCCACACCAACCAGGGCAAGTATGTAATATTTTGACATTATTTTTCACTAAGCATAATGTCATTGAGGTCCATCTGAGATCTTACAGGAATTAATAACTTTATTATTATAAATAATATATAAATGGTATTGTTGAACAATATTCCATAATGTGGATATGCAGAGTTTCAATCACTCATCCACTGAAGGACATTTGGGTTGTTTGCAGTATCTTGCTTTTAAGAATAAAACCTGTTAAAAATAAGACAAAATAACGTTGCTATGAATGTTTGTATACAGGTTTTTGAATAAATATTTCTCTGAAGTGAATGCCCAAGAGGTGATTGCTGGTGCATTCTCTGTCTCTGACACGAAACAAGGTCGAGGCCACAGTTTGGGTTCAATTTCACCTCCTTGTGCCTCGGCCTGGGAACTGCCCCCAGGAAGTAAGCTGGGCCATAGCAGGGTTTGCTGCATTTGCTTCCCTTTTCTCAGGGATCGTGGTCCTTCTTGGCTGGTTTTCTAATGCCTGCTTACATTTGTTTTTATCTATTTAGTCTGCCTTTCTAGTTGTTTGAAGCAAGAAAGCAATTCCCATAGTTCTTCATCTAACATCATAGGCAAAAGCAAAATTTCCCATAGTCTTTGACTTGCTTTCAAATTTTTTATTTTTTTATTCCTCTGTGCTATGCTCTGAGAGAGTTTCTTAAAGAAGATTTTTGGCTCTTTTACTCACCCTTAAGCTATATCCTTTTTCCTCTTTGGTCCATCTATATAAATATTTGAACAAACTTCTCCTTTGATTGCTTTTTTAACTCTAGTACTTGCTCCTGCTACTAGACAAATGGTATGATTCACTACATATGTGGTCACAAGAAGAGGAACAGTTTGGACAAACTGGCCTGCTCTGGTTCCAATAACTCTATGGATCAATATTGTTTTTGCTAAAGATATATGTTGTTAAGTTCTCAATTTTAGAATTAGGAGAGACCCTTCATTATCATCTAGTCCAAGACCCTCATTTCATAAATAAGATAAGAACGGCTCAGGTCATGCAGCAATGGCATAAAATAGTTGGTGTACAAGGCCCCCAAATTTCAATTTATATTTCTTTTCAATTATTGACTAATTGACTACCACATAAATTGTATATTCATGTATATGTATAAAGTAAGGTTAATTTTGTCCTTTTCACACAGGATTTTCCCTATATGGAAGGTGTTCTTTTTTTCACAGTGTTATACTTTGGCTTTTTTGCAGAAAAACAGTCTTCAGAGTTGCATAAAGAAAAAGACTTTTGTTACACCCTTAACATTTGATTTTCAGTTGGAATTTGAAGAGGCTATTATTGATAAATCGACCTCTATGACAGTACCAAAGAGCACAGAAGACAAATCACAAGGAATTAAAAAAACAAAAAGGTAACCATCATAACTACTTCAAACTTTCAATATGGAGTTTTAAAACATTACTTTAGATTTGTCTTCGATTATGCAGTCTATGTTAAATGTCGGCTTTGTCAAACAAAGGTATATTACATCATGGCTATAACTTATACTAGATAAGCATTCAGAATATTCTTGTATATAAAATAGTTATTATAATATTACACATGTTAATTACAGATAGTAATTACAATTCTGAACTTTTAAAGAAAGACTTTTCTTGAGCTGTATTATATTGCCACAAATTAATGCCAGGATTTATTTCAAACTTTAACCAATGTACTACTGTCAACCGATGGTTGTTGGTACCAATTCATTGCCAACAGGAATCCCCAATATGGGGTGCAGTGAAGAAGGAAAATGTTCAGTATCAACAACTCAATTGTGATACAGCACAGCTGTGAGAACAGCAAGAATGTGACCAGCTCAATAGTGTTACAGCTCAATGATGATACAGCATAGCTATGGAACGTGAGGTGACCCTAGAGCAAGGCAGCTCTGGGGCAAGGCACTTTCCTGGCTGGATAGTTCTGCTCTGATCTGCCCTGCTTCGCTTGCTCTTCTCACTCTGGTTCTGCAAGACATCACTGTTTCAGCTCCAGCTGGGCAAAGTCTTCGGGCTTTGGTAGAAAGAGAAAGTGCACCCTCAGAGCCAGAGTGGAGCTGACTTACATAGAGAGAAGTCACTACGCCTAGTCTCTGATTGGTCTGTCTTCATGCAAATTAAAGTGCCAAATCCTAAAAGATTTTTTGGTAAAAAGGTACTGTCTTGATTGGTCAGAATGGAGCTGTTCTGACTGGTCAGTGAGGATGCATATGGGATATAACTGCAGCTCTGATTGGACAGGGAAAGTCCAGTCCTATTGGTTGAAACAATTCCAGGAACTCCTTTATAAGGGCTGCTCAGAGGGCAGGAACACAGTGTAGGCACGCAGTTCAGTGCAAGCTTCTCCCTGTATGTGCAATTTGCATGAAAGACCCCTGTGCAGAAATAGCTGCTAGGCTTTGATTTTTAAAATCTGAGTCCAGTGAGGCAGCAGGAGTCATTCTTAGTAAGTATCTTCTTTCTCAGGGTCTACATTGCAAGGAAAAAGAAAAGGTCCACCTTGAAAATTAAGTAAGGAAGTTTCTCTCTGTACTTACAAGGAGTAGTCTGAATATGTCAAACTTGGTCTTTCACTGGCATTTTATATGTATGTAGCGCTATATAATTTTTCTAAGCATCAGAAATGTAGAAGAGAGTCCAAACAAAAGAAATACTGATATGTAGAACCAATAGAACCTCTTTGAGTTTCTCCTATCTCCTCACTCTTGGCCTCTTAATTTCCTACTGTTTTTAGGGAGCTCTTAGATGTCTTTAAACAAATGTTTTAACATTTTGTCCACATTTTTTAGTTGTTCTCAGGAGGATAGCTGGTCCAAACCACCTAGTGTATTTCCAGAAATGAGACATACAGTTCTATTTAAATTAATTCTAGATTTTACTCATACTTGAATAATTCTCATCATTCTGATACAACTTACAACTTTCTAGGGCTCTAAACCAAGTTCAAGGAAAAAATCCTTGCAGATAACTTTTGTTTATCTTTGTTACAGTAGCTTTGCTATCACATACTATTGTAACTTTCATTTATTGATTTTCTTCTACAAATATTTAATTGACTGTTGTACTCTGGAGATAGAACAGCAACAGGGAAATATACCCGTGTATTAAAGTTCAGTGTCTGTGGGGGCAAGAGGAAATTCAGATAAGTAAACAGGCAAACACCAGTTACTACAGAGAGATTCCTAATGGGAGGATTAGCAAAAGTTTCCTAGAAGAGATGGCAGCTCAGGTGAGATCTAGAGAGTTAGTGGAAAGGCAACAGATTTAAAAGAAGAAAATGTGTTCCAGGCCAAAGCAACAATATGAACAGAGGGCCAGAGAGAGGCAAAGGAAGGCCCAGCTAATTTGGGGAACCAAGAGAGTAGTTCAGTGTTGTAGGACTTGAATGGGATATGGGGTAGAGATTGGAGAGGGGGCTAAAGAAGTGAGGCTAAAGAGGTAAGTAAAGGCCAGATCACCAAAGGCCAGGAAAGGGCTTTGGACAATCTCCTGAACAAGTATGGAGCTACTGAAATGTTCAAACAGGGCAGTGCATATTCAGATTTAGATTTAGAAATATCATTAAACAGCCAAAGAGGTCATTAAAAATTATGAGGGCTCCTCAGAGAACTTGACTTTTTACTCAATTCATATTATCTCCAGAAACTGCCTCTTCCAGGAGCAACCCATCCTTTTTCGTCCTTTTTAGTCATAACAGGAAGATTGCTTATATAACAGAGCATAAGGCAGAAAGTTTCTATCTTCATATCAACAATGATATGTTGGTTACATCAGTTTAATTGTATAGATTCGGTTCCTCCAAATCTTGAGGTGCAGCTCCTGAACTTACAAGCTATTTTAATTATAACTAAAATATGCATCTTCACCAGTGCTCACAAAACTTCACTGCAAGATTGAACCAAGATGTTGATCTATTCACACAGCTTTCCAAGGTTTTGATTCAGTAAGTCTGGCTTGGGACCTGATAATTTGCATGTTTAGTAATTTTCCAGGTACTGCTGAGGCAGCTGCTCCTGGTACCACCCTTGGAGGCACTGCTGTAGCTTATGTCCCGCTCTAATCATGCTGCCTCATGCCAGCTTCTATCCCGTTCTTTCCCTTAGCTTGCTGAAGGAACATCGTAGCAACTCGCAACCTGGTGCTGGGATCACCTAATTGATGAAACTTGCCCAGGTTTATTTGTAGCTGAGCTTTGCTTTCAAAGTAGTAATTTCCAACCCAACTGCACATTAGTATTACCTGGGGAGCTTTAAAATAATTGGATTCTACTTTAATTGGTTTGGAGTGCAGCCCAGACATTACTATTTTTAAGATCTCCCAGATGATTCTTTTATAAAACTAGGATTGAAAACCATTAAAATTCTTTAATGAAAGATGCCAGAGACATCTTTTCTATGTTATTATTAGCTCAGGATGTCTACACTTTTCTTGGATAAATGAGAACCGATAAAAGTGATTGCCTTTACGCTCTGGAAATATCTTCCTAGGATTACTTTTCTGATGAGCAGAGAGTTTTATGATCATTCAAAAATAACTCTCAGTCCTTTGTTTTTAATTTGGATATAGTCTTTACTATTTCTCAGTAGACACCAAACTTACTCTTTTCTGCAACTTGTTGTAATTGGATCTTTTACAAAAGATCAACGTATCAGCATTTGAATCATAGAGATGCCAGGAGGAGAAGAGGAAGAGCAAGGAATTGAAAAAATTCTTACTTGAAAAAATAATGAAAGGAAACTTCCCTAATTTGTTGAAGGAAATAGACATGCAAGTCCAGGAAGCACAGAGAGTCCCAAACAAGATGGACACCAAGAGGACCACACCAAGACACACCATAATTAAAATGCCAATGGTTAAAGATAAAGAGAATCTTAAAAGCATCAAGAGAAAAGCAGAGAGTAATGTACGAAAGAGTTCCTGTAAGACTGTCACGTGGTTTCTCAAAAGAAACTTTGCAGGCTAGAAGGGACTGACAAGAAGTATTCAACATGATGAAAAGCAAGGACCTACAACCTAGATTACTCTATCAAGCAAAGCTATCATTTAGAATCCAAGAACAGATAATGTGCCTCCCAGAAAAGGTAAAGCTAAAGGAGTTCACCATCACCAAGCTGTTAGTTCATGAAATGTTAAAGGGACTTATTTAAGAAAAAGAAGAAGCTCAAAACTCAGAAAATTAAAATGGCAACAAATTCACAACTATCAACAACTGAATCTAAAAAAACAAACTAAGCAAGCAAGCAGAACAGGAACAGAATCCTAGATATGGAGATCATTTGGAGGATTATCGGGTGGGAGAGGGAAGGGGGAGAATGGGGAAAAAGGTGCAGGGATAAAGAAGTACAAATTGGTAGGTACAGAATAGACAGGAGGATGTTAAGAATAATATAGGAAATGGTGTAGCCAAAGAACTTATATGTATGACCTATGGACACAAACTAAGGGGGGAGATTGCTGGAGGGAATGGGGGGATACCAGGTGAAGGTGGATAAAAGGGGGGATATTGGGACAACTGTAATAGCATACTCAATAAAATATTTTTTTAAAGAAAGGCAAAAATTTTTTTAAAGAGAGATGAAGTGATTTCTTCTTTAGCCAAACATTCAGTACTACATTATCACATGAAAATGGCAATTTTACCGTGTATAAAGTAGTAAAGAAACAGAAAATAAGTTAGAGGTAGGTGGATAAAGAATATTTTTTTAGATTTAATAGAGTGTTCTCATTAGAAAAATTTTTCCTAAAATATATATTCACAGTGATACCTGTCAAAATATTCCTTCTAGAAATATTTTTATGACAGAAGGATGAACTTACACACAGAAAACATAATTAAATATAAATAGAGAATGCAGTTGCAGCCTAGAGTGTAATTTAATTGGTCAAATCCCTTCTTCCTTTAGCTTAAAACATACCTTAAATTCAGTGTAACATTAGCCTGACAGAGATTAAGAGGATGGCATTTATAAACTCGTTGCAGCTTTGGATCCTAGCTTCGCTTCCTAGCGGCTGTGACCTTGGACAAGTTATATAATGTTTTGGTGCCTCAATCTCCTCATCTTTTACAGGAACGATAATAATAATATGTATCCTATAGAGTTGTGTGAGTTAAATGGTTTAATATATGTGACGAGCTTAAGAATTCCCATACAGTAGGCACTCAAAACAACAACAGAGACTGATTTCTCTGACTGAAGGGAGTTAGACTTGTCAATACCTGGGGGAGAAATATTATAGGCAAAGGGAAGAGCAAGGGCCAAGGTCCTTAAGTTGGAGCTTAAGTTCCTTTTCTTAAACCAAACAACCAGATAATTTACTGTGCCTCCACGTGGAGGTGAGGGGTGAGTGGGAGTGCACAGAGAGAGGCCTGGAGGGACATTCAGTGGCAATTCCTTTACTTAGAGATATGAGATTTGGGGGAAACTTCTTCTGTCTTGCAATGAGAATTTTAAATTTTATTTCAGTTTGACAGGAAACAACTGAAGGGAAATGACAATCACATTTGTATTTTACAGGAGTCACCACGGTTGTTAGGGGTAGGAGTGATAGCCTAAAGAGCAGGCAGAAGGTTAGAGGCATTCAGTGGTTCAGATAAGAGATGAAGGGTCTTGGGCTAGGGTGGAAGTGATAAGGAAAGAAGTGGGTTAGATTTGAAGTGTATTTCAAAGAAAGATCTAGTGGAATTTGCTGACAGATGGTGAATGGGGAATGAGAGAAAGAAATCAAAGAAGAGTTTTTGGCCTAAGCCTCTGGTTGAGTGGAGAAGGGGGAGGCGGGGTAAGGATCAGATTGAGAAGAAAGCAAGAATTTGGTTTTCTAATATGTCAAAATTCAGTTGGCTATAATGTGTCTAAAGGCAATAGTCAGGTAGCAGTTGGATATACAAATCTGGAGCTCAAGGAAGAGTTTGGGGTCTATACTATACATCTGGGGACAGCAACCTATAGGTAACATTTAAAGGTGTGGGGCTGATGATATTAATTATGGATGAGTGTCTGAGGTCTGAGGACAAAAACCATAAGCATTAAGAGATCAGAAATAGCATGAACTATATACCATTAACTTTCTTACATACCATCAATAGTTAAAAAATTGAGTGGAGAAAAATTCCTTTTTATACTAAATAAATGCTGTGATCTGGTACCTGAAATGATCCTAACTCAATGTTCCACCGCTTTGACTCAAGTCTGGCAGTCCGTAGTATCTCATTTAACAATTTTCCAGCATATTTTCTAAAAGGATTAATTAGTTCCTGAACAATAGTTTCTTGAGGTACACTCAGTTTTATGATAACAGCAGTTTCTTGTCTGTCTACTTCAAGTAAATGTCACTAATATTTTCAGCTCCTGCTTAATCCCAATCTTTTACACTTTGTACTATAATATATTAATAGAACAACATCCCAATCTTTATCAAAGGGACTTCACCACATTTTTCCAAATTTATTTTTAGATTGGTTTTATAAATTTTCTGATTATTTTAGTTGCATTAATTTTATTTCTTCCAGGTATGTCTCCTTCAAAAATGAGCCTGAACCTAGAAAAAGTAATTTTGGAAAGTTAAATTTAAGGCCATGCTTTGTGCCAACAAATATAAAAAATCAAGAAAGCAAGTCAATAGGTAATGCCGTATGTAATGTATTTATTTCTCCTTTGATTTATCAATGCATGTTTTTATTGTGTACTTTAGTATTTATTCATTTGTATTTTAAAGTTTCTTGATAAATTGATGTCTCTGCTGAAAGCATTTGCTTGAAAGTATATGGGTTATAACTGCAGTGTGAAAGATTTTAGTAAGCTATAAAAAAGAGTTTCTTAAGAGAAAGATATGTTAAATATTAGAATAGATCATTTATATAACTCAAAAACTGGGAATATATTTGTATGTTTATTTAGTTTTCTAGAAAGAAAATTTCTGAGTTTCCTTTCAGTTCAACCCTGAGTTCCCTTGTTATTGTTTTTTTTTTTAATCAATCAGGTATGGACATCTTGCTTAATAGAATCTTATTTTACAGGAATATTAATTTCTGTAGCTTAAAATAACCTTCATATATGGTAGAATAACTCTTCCCACCTTGTTCTTCAAGAGTAATGTTTCTATTTTCTCTTTTTCATTATGTTTTTTTCTTTGACCTATCAGGTTTTTAAGAGTATATCCTAACTCAAAATATATAAGTCTTTTCAAATTATCTTTTTGTTATTGCTTTTTTGCACAATTACACTGTAGTTTGGGGATACATTCTACATGTTTTCAGTCATGTAATTAACACTTGCAATATTACACATGACATGGTCAATTGTTGCAGATCTTCCAGGTACACTCCAAAATAATGTATATTCTGCAGTTGCTCAATGCAGTGTTTTTTTATATATTTATCTTTTAGTACAAACTTGTACATTGTGTTTTTTAACTCTTCTATATCCTTACTGATTTTCCTGCTTGCTTGTTCTCAGTTACTGAGAAATTTTAGATTTACTGTCTTATTTGTAGCATTGTAAATTTTTGTTTTATATATTTTTAATATAGTTTAGGCCATGTTAGTAACTGCATTAAAATTTTAGAATTATTAGATATATAGGGAATTTAACCTTTTTCTCTGTAAAGTGATTTTCATCTTATCCAATATTACAGTAGTTACAGGTTTCTTTTGGCTAACATTTGTATGGTATGTCTTTCTCCATCATTTTATTACCACCTTTCTATAACATTATGATCTAGGTTTATCTCTTATAAACATCAAGTTGCTAGATTTTAAAATCTACTCTGGTAATCTTTGTCTTTGGAGCATTTAGTCCATTTATACTTAATGTAATTAGCAAAATCTTTGGATTTAAATCTGCCATCTTATTTTGTTCTTCCTATCTCTCCTGTTGACCCTATGCTTCTTTTTCTGCTATCTCCTGTTTTCTTTAAGATTTAATTTTAAAAAATTTAAACTTTTCTCCTTTAGTAATTTGGAAATGATATAATCTCTTCCTTTAAATTATTAAACTAGAGATTACAATATGCATCCTTTCAAAATCTAATGTTACCATCCTCTGGACAATAAAAGCATTTTAGAACACTGTAATTATTTTACTCTCATGTTGAGTTTTACATTATCACTAAAGTCCAAAGTCTCATCTAGATATCATCTAAGTCAAATATAGGTGAGACTCAACATATGATCCATCCATCCTGAAGCAGAATTTGTCTCCAGCTGCAAACCTATGAAATCAAGCAAATTATGTGCTTCCAAAATACAAGGATGGGCCAGACATAGCATAGACATTCCCATTTTAAAATAGAGAAATAGAAATAAAATAAGGGGTGATAGGTCTCAACCAAGTCTAAAACGTAGTAAGGCAAACTTTATGGGATTTTAAGGCTTAAGACTAATCCTCTTTGGTTTGATGCTCTCTCTTCTGGACCCACTAGGGCAGAGGTCTTGCCACTACAGCTCTGCAGGGTAGAGTCACAACCCCCCATCCCAGAACTCTGCTAGGCAAGGATCCCATTTCCACAACTTTGCCCACTTGGAGTCATATTCCCAAGGCTTCAGATTGTCCACCCAAAGACTTTGGATGGAATCTATCAGGCCTGTTGCGACTGAGACAATGGCCTCCACTTTTGAAACTGAAGACGGGGCCCTGATTGTCTTGAAACTGCCTTCACAGTCACTCTCCTTTCCTGTTGTTCACTCTCCAGGCCTGTTGTTCATTTATCTTGATGAACAACACATGTTTGCAACAAATAGCTCTATGGTCCCATCCTGTAAAACCCAGGAAGTCCAACAACCTTCCTTCATTTTATCCTGTCTCCATCCCCTTCAATTCAAACTGACAGCGTCTCTGCTGGGGTGGCTGACTAGGTCTGTGGTTCACATACAAACCAATCTCCTTTCAATGATCAGTCCCTCCTACCCTTAGTGTTCTCTTTTGAATATACTTTCTCATTTTTTGTAATATGGACACACTGAGAATTTTCCAAATTTTTAAGTTCTGGGTCTTTTTTGCTTAGCAATTTTGTCTTTAATCCATTCTGCTCTTCTCACATTTTACTACAATGGTAAGGAGAAACGAAGCTGCTCCTTCAGTACTTTGTTTAGAAATCTTAGCTAACCATTCAATTTCATTGGTCACAAGTTCTATCTTCCACGAAACACTAGGACACAAACACAATTCAGCCAAGTTCTTTGTTACTTCATAACAAAGATAGAATTCTCTCCATTGTCCGATAGCATGTTCCTCCTTTGTGCCTGAGACATCATCAGAATGGCCTTGCCCATCCATATTTCTCCTAACATTTCTGCACATGATTATTTATGTATTCTCTAAGAAGATGGAAGTTTTCTCTATAGCTCTCCTCTTTTTTTCTTAGTTTTCACCAGAATTGCCTTTGAAATTCCTTCATGGCCCTATTGGATTTTTCTAGCATGCACATCAAAACTCTTTTTGCCTCTACCCATTACCCAGTTCCAAAACCTCTTCCATATTTTTAGATATTAGTTTCAGCAGCACTCCACTTCTCAGTGCTAGTTTTTCTCTTAATTCCGGCTACTATAACCCTCTACTAGAGCCTGGGTGGTTGAACACCCAGGCTATACTTATTTCTCACAGTCGTGGAGGTTGGGAGTCTGAGTTCAGGGTGCCAGTCTGGTCAGGTTGTGGCAGAGGCCCTCTTCCAGCTCTCTCCCATCTCTTTTCTTATGAGGGCTTTAATCCCATCTCAGGGGCTCCACCCTCATTACCTCATCTAAACCTAATTACCTTCCAAAGGCCCACTTCCACATAACATCACATTGAGAATTAGAGCTTCAGTGTACCCATTTTGGGAGGGAGACAAATATTTAGAACATAAAAACTATCCTGTCTAAAATATACTTCCCTGTAGTATTCTCACTCTCCAAAATCTATTTCTCTCACAGAATGTATCTCAATTTATAATTCTTTACTCCTTTGTTTCTTTACTCATTTTCTGTGTTACCCACTAAAATGTATGCAGCATTGGGCAGGAATTACAATTCCAGAATCTAACACCAGTGCCTAGCATATTGTAGGTGATTAACAAATAAGCGTTGATTGAATGAATACCACACACTCTGTATTCAGTTTGTTACGTCTAATTTTTAAAAATCTCATTTAATCCTCACAGCATTCCTGTTAAGATTAAGTACTATTATATCCACTTAATAGATGAGAAAGCTAAGAATCAGAGGGGTTAAGTAACTTTCCTAAGGCTACATAACTCATACACACACAAAGTAGGTTGTCATCTCAAACTATCTAAATCCAAAGTCTGTGTGCTTGACCCTACGTTATGCCAACTTTAAGACAATCCATTAAATGATAATCCAGATTAATAAAATTCATAATAAGAGATGGAGGGATTCAGGTTGAGGTAAATACAGGGTCTGACAAAATAATGCCCTTTTTTTATTACACAATCATAAGCATGTAATTTTGTAACATAACAATATCACACTCAAGCACACCATATGACGTTTTAGGTGAAATGTTCAAATTAAAACTATAAATTACTACACCCATATTATTACCCTACCAACCATATTCAAGCAGGCATTACTTCTGCTGAACTATGTATATCTCTTTTCAAAGGAATTCATGAAAAGATTTCTTTGACTGTCACGTATGATTCTATTTTATTTAGAATTTCATTTTTTCCCAAGACACAGTTTTATTGTGTCATAGTAAGTAATCGAAAGTCTTGTTCTGTTAATAGAAATTCACTTTTAAAGCAAATTATTCTAGAATATATTTAGCTCTAAAAATGTAAAACTAATTCTGTATAGCAAATAAGATGAAAACTACATCTCTAAAAAGTTTACTACATGTAGAGAAAATAATTCATTGAATTAAATTCAAAGTAGTCTAATAGTATGGAAATATCATTTATATTTGGATTTGTTTCTTTAGATCCAGAAGAAGAAAATCTAAAATCAAGATCTAATAGATCTTTTCTTTATCTTAAGGATATAGATGAGGTAGGTTTAATTTTTATGTTTATAATTACTTAACAGTAATTCAGATTAACCCAAGTGATTTTATATATGCTTCTACCAATCCCAAAACCAAATGGATATTAGTATTCAAAAGAATAAGATTTTAAAGTGATTTTATCTCTGATATTATGGAAAACTTTACATGCAAAGATAATAGAGAAAATAAGTTATTTGTTAGACAGTAAGTATAATAAAACTTATTTATTGAATATTATGAGGCCTAGCAGTTTTCATAAACTTGGTGAAGACAGGGCATCATAAACTTTACATGCATAAATTAAATACTTTTTTCAATTTAAAATATGAAAATATACATCTATTCATTAATCTTTTTATTCGTAGCCAAGACCATTTTTGAGCATGCTATAGTTATTTAAACTATATAATTACAATAACAACACTCTTGAGTCTTGATAATGAATTGAGCAGAGGTTCATGGACATACTGAAAAGTATCTGACTAGCCTTGAGCATTCAGCATGCCTTATATATCATTCAGTAGCTTTTATCTAGGAGACTAGAGAAAGAAATTAATTCAGAGAATCAGCAAAAGAAAGTCACTTAAGAGCGTCTCTTAGATACCAATTTATTTATTATTAACCTTGTCAGTATAGATAATG